GATTTTTGGGGAACCTCCCCAACAGCATTGCCACCCCTGCAGCATGAAGGAAACGTGTTGGTTTGCGCCCCCGAGCATGCTGCTCACAGAGGAAACCACCGGCTGCTGCGGTGGGCGCAGGAACCCGCTGGCTGGGGGGGCGCCGATGGAAAGGTTGTTGGGGGGCGGGGGTGCAGGAAACGGGTCGGAGAGGTGCTCAGAAACCCACAGCGTCACTCTTCCCCCAGGCAGCAGGTCACAGCAGGGACGGGGCTCTGACTGCTTTTGCTGATGGCCTGGCCGTGCTGAGCAAAGCGGGTGGTATGGGGGTGGGAGACGGCACTTCCCCCACCTCTGCAGGCAGCAGCTCGCCCACAAAGCCCACATGACTCCGACGTATGCCCTACTATTTTGGGATGACCCGAGACAGAAAGCACTTGCTGGGGACAAGGAGGATCCGTCCAGTGGGGTTTCCTCCTGCTGAGAGGTGGCACCCATGGGCATCAAGCTCTCACTTTTCATCCACGGGGCTTTCCTGGTGTGGTATCACCTCCAGTAGCAGGTTGGCTAGCAGGATGACTAACCACCGAGCCCCTTCACACCTTCCCCCCCCCGACATAAATCACACCTCCGAGAGGCTGCTGAGAAACCCCCCAGCTTTCTGCTCTGTGGCAGGAAATGTCGCTGAGCCAGCACTGCAGCCCCAGCCTCAGCAAAATCCCTGGAAAATCTCCCTCCTCGACCTCATCCCTCAGGCACCAGGGCCAGGAATGTGAAGACTGCAGTGATTTAGCAGAGGGAAGGTGTTTGGGCAGAGCAGCTCATCCTTTCTGCATCTCTGTCCTCCAGAGCTGATATGAGCTGGCCAGGATGGGGCTGACTTCAGCCAGGATTATGCTGGAAGTGGATCTCTTTGGGGTGGATGGGAATAAAAGGACTGCATCATATCTCTGGGATGGAAAGCAGAGCAGAGCAGGTGTGAAATTGGTGCCTGGAAAACGGGCATGGAGCTGACGGCATTGCTGTCTTACCTTAAAAATACAGCCCACATCCATACATGCATCCACGTGGCTCAGCTCCCTTTTCCTTGAACCCATCCTTTAGGAAAGACAGTGTTATTCATGTATTTTCCAAGCAGCTCTTTTCTTTTCTGCAGTGATTTCATACTGGGGTCTTCCCTGCTTTATACATGAGCAAATCAAATCCATTCATTGCAAGCTTTCAGCTCCTGCCCACGAGCAGGTGGTTGGGAAAACTTCAGTAGTAAAACTCCTGCACAGAAGCCCCCTGTGATTCAGTTTGGATCTGGAGGGGAGGAGGAAAAACTCATTTTCATAATACTGCATTGAAAAAGAAAAAACAGCCGCAAACAGACTGTAGCCATGATCAAGCAGTTCTTGCCGGAGGGTTTCCCCCAGGAACAGAGCAAAGGGGATGACCCAGCACGTGTTGTGCAGCTCCCTGAGGCACTCGGGACTGAGCGCATGACGCTTGAGGAGCTGCCAGGGGCACCCAGTGCAACTCATCAGGAGGATGGACTCAGCCAGGACAAGCTTTAATCTGAAACATGGGGAATTCTAGCTAGTTTTTGTTGTCCTGCTCCACTAAACTGAATATCCTCTTACTAATTTATTGCATTCAGACCCGGACCTAAAAATTGCCAGGCTGATGCCTGGTTTTGGGGGTCTTCCTCAAGCTGGGATGGGGTATCTCACCCTGATGGACATGTCTTTTGGTTGTGATCAGGCCTCAAGGATCTCAGGTTGGAAATTCATGTCTGGAGGTGGAAAAGCATTTGCATGTACAGCTGCAGGGAAGAGGAGCCACACAGGAGGAAGACACAGTAGTTTCTCCCATGTTTAACTTCCCCCAGCACCTCCTGGGTCTCATCTCCTTTCCAGTAAGTGGCTGGATTTCCCACTCACATCACTCACCACAGACAGCCCCAACCTGCCTTGGTGACATAGCATCACCCACACCACATCCCTCATGCCCCAGCATGGACCACAGGCAGAAGGAGCCCAGAGCAGACAGACAGACACCTGTACAAGGCTGCTTAAACCCCTGAATTCCTCAGGGAAAAGGGGGAAACAGCCACAGGGCAGCAAACACCCCATGCAAGTAGAGCTGCCACATCACTGACAGGAAAAACAAGTCAGATGGAGAAGTAAAGGGCGAAGGCAGGCGGAGGCCGGGTGGGTGGCATGGTTTCGGGCATGCCACCCAGACACATAAACTCAGATTGTTGCTCCCTTTCACCAGCCTGTCCCGGGGAAGGGGGTGGTGACACCTGCAGCAGAACTGGTTCAGGGGTGACAGCATGTGGGAGTGCTGCTGGGCCAGCTCCAGCTCTAACTGTGGCTCAGACATGGCTGGGGAGGGCAGCGTGTGCTGGACAGGCTGAGCCCAAGATAAGACACAAGATAAGGAAAACTCCAGGTGAGGGCTCGGGCTGGTCTTCTCCAGAGGACAGGGAGGATGGAAGATGCTGTCATGTTGCAGCAGCATCTCTCCATCCCTGGGATGAAACCAGGGATGGCCATTGGGGCATCCTGATTCCCGGCTCCTGCTGGGGTTGCTCTGTACTCCCACCCCATGAGCAAAAGCTGCCCAGGGGGGTGTTATGGCTGGAGACAGCACCTCGGATGAGCCTGCAGCCCATGCGTACCCCGAGTGCCTTGCATGGCACAAACAGGCAGCTACTGTGGGATTTTCTCACCAGCTCTTGCATTCGATTCAGGCAGATACAGGACTTCCTGGGTCCATTGTCCTGCCCAGCAAACCCTCCTCCCAGAGCAGCCCTCAAGGCCACCAGTAAAACTGGAGGCAGAAATAGCCCTCCAATACAGTGCTGGGAATAAATAAAATGCTCTCGAGGCTTTTGTTTCAGCCATGTGGCTGTTCCCGCTCCGCCTGTGCCAGAGGAAGCCTGCAGAAACTGCTGCAATACCTGACCTTCCTGTGCGTGCCCGCCCCCATCGAAACAAGGCTCCCAAAATAACTCACTCAAACAATGTGGCCATAGTCTGGGTGAGGGTGGTGAAGCCTCGGCTTTCCCCTCCAGCAGCCCTGAAGCCCTTAACAAACCCCGGTACATGTGTTTGCCCATGGCCTTTGGGTTATTGTATTTATAGGAAACAGCCCCAGGCCAGGGGAAATGTGGCCCAGAATAAACCACAGCCTGAAATGTTCAGTCTTTGTTGCTTTTCTCAGGAAATTTAGCAAAAAGCTCTGTCTTTTGTCCTGTGTGTCCTCAAGGAGTGGAGACAGGGACCCATTTGCAAAGGCTGGGCTGGGGAAAGAGACATTGCTGCAGTCCCTCTGCAGGTCCGTGGGGTCTCTGCGCTACCCAGGGACACAGGGCTCTCCCTGTGGCACTTGGTCCCGTGCTCTCAGCCTTCTTCTCAGGCAAGAAAACTGAGCCCAGGCAGCTGAAATTACGTTATCACAGCCCTGTGCCCTGCACAGCCCCAGCCCATCATTTCCAACCCGCTCCCCGGGATTTAGCACCGCCTTGGCTCACCACGCCCAGCCCTCCACTCGCCTCTTCCCAGGACACTGTGAAACACTCCAGTGTCCAGGGTTATAGTGAGGGGTTTTAGAGATTTGATAATCCAATGCTTGGCAGCAAAAGAGCTGGCAACTCAAACACCTCGGCGTCCGCATACAGCACCCGAGTGGTAACACCTGGGCGCTGGGTTTCTCTCCCAGTCCTGAGTGAGCTCCCCACCTCCTCTCGCTGCAAGGGGGGACTGCCAGAATCACACTTCTTGTTTTAGCTCTGCTGAAACTCGCTTGCCTTTCGGGCTCATTTCTCCTTCTTTACGTCAAGATGCCACAGCCACATATGCTGCCGGCACCAGCGGGAAGTTTTCTGCCAAACCCAGTGCTAAGAAAGAAACAAGGCAGGGAACGCTTTCGCTTTCAGCTGCCAACCCCCCCCTGAAGATAAGGGACCTGCAAAACTCCGGAAAATCCTGCATTGGGACCTCTGGCACAGGTCCCAGGGGACAGAGGTGCCTGTCACTGCATCCCTGTGTCCCAGCTGGTCCCCCATCACCTTCAATGCTTTGCAAAAGGAGCTGATCAGTGCATTGCTGCAAACCAGGGCTGGAGCTCACCGGGGCTCCTACCTAACTGCCAAGGCCTAAATATTTTCTGACGGTACCTGCAGGAACAGGCCCTGCAGCCAGTGCTAAGAATAGCGCACAGAAAGGCAGCTGGGCACGAGTTTAAATGAAGCCGCGACCCTTTGAAAGCCCTGCAAAGGGGGGCCGAGCGCTGCGCCGGGTCTGCTGGGCTCTGCAACCGGTTCTGTCATTGTGCCGAGGTGCTTTGATGGAGGGTTTGAAAGAGAGAGGGAGGTATTGTTCTCTCCTGCTTTTGTTGGCACGATTTAAAAGCTTGAATTGCTATTCCCTGCTTCCCTCCATCCCAAACCCGGCCTTTCCCCCCACCACCACCCCCAGCCGTCAACCATCAGCTCATTTTTCCCCCAAACCAGCAAAAAGAGAGCTGCAAGTTCAGCACTGCTCTGTTTCACGGGCTGCCAGCCAGGCAGCCCCTGCCTTCATTCCTAAAAACCATTCCCGACGTCAGAGCCAAGGGTGCGCGGGAGCATCGCGACTCTTGCCCAGCTCCCGGCGAGCCGCAGAGGCGCAGGCAGAAGGTGCCGGGACCCACGAGGACCCGCCGCTGCTATTTCTATCCCCGGCTCTGGGCAGGTGGTGGGCGGTGAGGAGCGGGCTGCTGCTAACACACCCCCTCCCGTGGGTTTTTCCAGCAGAAATTTGCCCAGCTTCTCACTTCTGAAGGGGCCAGCCTGAAGTGGGAGCAGCAAGCCCAGGGCACGAGGGGTGGGCTGGCGCTGGGCTGGGGCTGCTGCTGGGGAGGAGTGACAGGCGAGACATGGAAAAGGGTGGGGGGACCCCTTGGTCATGGGGGAAGAGGGACAGGGGAGAGCCCAGCCATCGTCCCAGGAGCATCCCTCGGCTCCTGCTGAGAAACACAGCATGTGCCTGCTCTTTTCCATTCTTTTATTTCAACGGTCTCATTCTCACTTTGGTCACAGCTCTGAAAGGTTTTTTTGGTAGCTGTCGTGGTGTTTGTTTTTTCTCTTCTCTAATTTGAGCCCACTTTCTATAATATTATAAAATTATACAAGTACAGTAATCATCAGTTGATAATAAATAGGTATTTGTTAGTTCACAAAGTTAAAGTGCTTTGAGAAGGGATGTAAGAAGCTCTATCCTAGACTCGGGGGGGGTAACTTGGAAATGTAGTGCAGTAGGAAGCTCTAGCCCGTTGTCCATAGTCAGCGGTCACAAGAGGCACGGGGCATCTTGCCCCCCTTGCCAGAAAGACCCCTCGGGCACTCCTGAGTGTCTCTGAGCAGGCACGAAGCAGGAGCCGTGCTGCTGTGACAGGTTATTGGAAGCATGAGATAGGATGCCCCCTCCGTTACACGGCCTGAGGCTGGGGCAGTCCGGCCATCGAGAGGGCTGGGAAAGGTTTGGACAAGGTGCGGGATCACCCCTGGCCCACAGGCGCAGGGAGAGCATCCCTGTTTTTCACAGTTTAGTCTTGCTTAAAGACCTCAAAGCCCAAGGGAAGCAAACCCTGCTCCTCCCCTGTCCCCTCACTGCGAGGAGAGGGGCGGATCTGCTCCGGGCGGTGGGGGCAGCCGTAGCGCCCCCCGGCCCGTCGGCATCGCCCTGAGATCAGCAGCCTGCCGCCTCTTTCCCTGAGGAAGCCCGGTCCCTCTCCGGGAGGAGAGGTGCTGGGAGCAGGGGCTGCCTGCTGCCCACAGATAAATGCCCTTAGCTGCCTGCAGAGGATTTGTGCGTTTAAAACTTCTTCCCAGGGCCTCTCAGGTTTGGTTTGGGCTCTGCTTCCACCTTCCCTTCCTGTCCCCTTCAGTCTGTCCTTCCCCACACCCCAAATCTAGTCATCTTCTGAGGCTTTTCCATGCAAAATGCTAACCTCATGCCTGCCCTTGCCTTGCAGGTTTCCAGTGCTACTTCCCGATCTCCCTCCTACATCAAAGCCAGCTGCAAAAAAACGTAAAACAAGCCAAACCGTAAAACCATTCCAGAGCCCAATTCTCCAGACCAGAAGGGGACTCACATGTGGCACTGGGAGCGTTCCAGCTGCTTGCCAACCCAAACAGACATTAGCCACTAAAAACTTGGAGGCATCAGTCCCCGCTCGGAGCGAAGTACAGATCAACCAGTTAGAAAGGGCTGGCTCCTCCTCTTCATCACATGCACGTTCCCAAAGAGAGGAGTCATCGTGCCCTGAGGATCAGTGCATGCACATCAGCAGAAGTCCCCTGAACGTCCGCACCCAGGGTAGGCTCAGGACAATCACCAGTACAGAGCTACCACAATGGGCTTGAGGAGAGGCTGACGCCGCTCCCTTCACGCTGCTGGATACTGTGAATGTCCCCCCACGCATTTGGGTACCCCGTCCCTCCCTGTCCCCAAACCCTGCTCCATCTGGCCGTTGCATCTTCCTTGCCATGACTCTTCCACCAAGGCCAAAGATGGAGGGGCTGCTGCCCTGGACCCCTTCTGGGACAGTCAAAAGATTAATGTCCGAGGAGCGACTAAGAGAGTGGGGATCTCGCCTCAGGAATGGACAGCAAGTGCAGGAAGAACGGCAGCAGCCAGGATAGTGGGAACACAGTCCCGTCATGTTCAGTGGAAGAGCTCCACCAACAGCACCATCAGGAGCAGCTGCAGCCAAGAGCCAAACGTCATGGTGGCCTGGCCCTTCTGGGACATGAACCTGAGCTGGTTGACCAGGCGCTCCTTCACCAGAGCCTGCTTGAAGCCATCCTCCTCCGAGATGCAGACGTAGTGGCCGTAGTGAACGTGGCTCACGTTCTGGATGAAGTGGAAGCAGTCCTGCTGGGGGTGGGTGGTGTTGCAGGTCTTGATGAGGCTGTTGTTGTGGTACCAGTTGTAGGTGGCATAGTGGGACTCAATGGGACAGTTGAGGTAGTAGCGGGAGAAAGGGACGACTGTGATGTTCTGATAGTCATCTACTGGAAGAGATTGAGAAGGGAGGGATGAGACAGGCGTGTCCAGGAACCACAGATCCCCCCACAAGCCTGGGAGAAAGAACAGTTGGGTCAATGGGGACATGTTACACAGCCATGTAATGACAACGACAGCGCCTGACCCATGCCTGGTGAAGTCTGTGGGACTCTTCTCCCAGGACATCAGCAAACACAGAGTTTAAGACCTCTCACCCAGCTCAAAAACACATTATCTAGTGATGAACTCCACACTGAGACTTGCTTAGTGTCTTCATTTCTGCACGGTTATTCCCAGTTCCCCAACAATGAGTTGCACAACCCATAAAAAGACCTAAGAATCAGCCACCCTGCCCCAAACACCCCCTGGATACATGGCCTACAGCTCAAAACCTTTACATACCTTCCTTAATATCTCCCTTTTGGCACGTTCCTCTCCACGGGTCCAGGTTCAGGTTCTGACGCACCTCTCTAGCAGAGGGGAATAAGCATTAAGAAAGTATTCACTTCAAGCTAGGAAAGGAATCGCCCATATGAAATACAGTGGATCAGAGAAGGAATACAGTTTAAACAGCTGTGATTACCTGGACAGACAGGTCTTCAGAGGCTGGTGGATGACAGATGCGAGACCCAGCTCACCACAATCAACTGTTTTAAACAGCATTGCAACCAGCAGAGCTATACACACTTCTAACACCAAAAAGGGGCCAAGTGCACAAAATCCATTGCCCTCTCCCTCTTCAGAGCAAGGGTGCCCAGGTGGCCAAGGCCAGTGGTATCCTGGCTTGTATCAGCAATAATGTGGCCAGCAGGGACAGGGAAGGGATCTTACCCCTCTGCTCAGCACTGGTGAGGCTGCACCTCAATTACTGGTTCAGTTTTGGGCCCCTCACCACAAAAAGGCCATTGAATGACTGGAGTGTGTCCAGAGATGGGAAACGGAGCTGGGGCAGGGTCTGGAGCACAGGTCTGCTGGGGAGCGGCTGAGGGAACTGAGGGGGTTCAGTCTGGAGAAGAGGAGGCTGAGGGGAGACCTCCTGGCCCTCTGCAACTCCCTGACATGAGGGTGCAGAGAGGGGGGATGAGGCTCTTGAGCCAAGGACCCAGCGCCAGGCCCAGAGGGAATGGCCTCAAGCTGCGCCAGGGCAGGGTCAGACTGGCTCTGAGGAAGGATTTCTTTGCAGAAGGGGCTGTTGGGCATTGGGATGGGCTGCCCAGGGCAGGGGGGGAGTCCCCATCCCTGGAGGGGTTGAAGAGTCGGGCTGACCCAGCACTGAGGGATCTGGTGGAGTTGGGAATGGTCAGGGTGAGGTTCATGGTTGGACTGGAGGAGCTTCAAGGGCTTTTCCAACCAGGATGATTCTGTGATTTTGTGTGAGGGGTACTGCAGGAGGGACAGATCCCTGCAAAGACAGAGTTTTTGGGGACAGCACAGATGTCTGCTCTGTTACTGCCTGGACACGATGGGCTCATCTCTCTCTGTGATGGGAAGATGGCCTCAAAACCACAGGCAGCCCTGGCCAGAAAGGGGAGTACTGAGGCTCTGGGTATTTCTTAGCACAAAAACCAGCCACGTACCGATTTAGATAAACCGACTGACAAGTGCCATTGAACCACCCACAGTACGGATCCCTCGCCAGCAAGCAGCTGTGGCAGTTATTGCGATACACCCCGCACATGTCCATCGGTATCTCTACGACTTTATTTGTTGAGCCAACGTAGAGCATCGCCTGCAGGAGGGAAGCAGAAGGGTCGATCATCTCAACACTGTGTCCCAGTGCCACCTTACCAGTGTCTAACCCTTCTCCTGCAGCTTCACTCTGATACTGGGGTAGTTTTCACCAGCAGGGCTGTTAGGTCTCCAGGCAATATAGTCATATCCCCCCATCACGGCAGGGGAAGCCACGGTCCTTCCCCCCATTATCCCTGTGCATAAATAGTTTTGCTCCTTCAGTGACAGCAGTGTTGTCAGCTCCAGGATGGAGCACCAGCGCTGTCTGACAGCTCATCTGCCAGCGAGGCTGGACAAGGAGAGGGAAACTGCAGGGGGAGGGGAACCGTGTGCTGGGATTTGGCCCAGGGAGTAAACAGCCGCATTCTTCCCTCGCCTCCAGAGGAGAGAGGGCATCCAAAAAGCTCTGTCATCCACTGACCACACAGAGAGTTACCCAGAACTGGGGACATCAGCCCAGCTGGCAGAATTTAGCAAAGCACACTGCGAGGCCCCCCACAAACCCATCCTGAGGTTACTTCAAGGTCCAGGGGATGTCATTAAATCAGCTGTCCCTGCCTCCCCTGCTGCCTACTTTTAAAGCTACAGCCCAACCTGCTATTTTCCTTTCTGTGGAGCAGGCAGACACTCACCCTCTTGTGGTCCAGGATCATGGACTGGATTGGGTCCTTCTTTGGGAAGACCTGGAGCTCCATGATGTTCTGCACCCCATCCAGCAGCTCCACGATCTTGTGGACGGATCCCTTGTCTAGAATGAAAGAGGGGAGAGCCCTGATGAAGCATGCTGAGAGCAGAAAGGCAAGGCAGAGGGACTGCAGGCAGGGCTGGGGAAGCCAGGCAGAGGACCAGCTCTGCCTCCAGCCCTTGCTGTGGCAGACAATACCTGCTTTGCAGAGCCAGGCTTAACTAGATTCCTGAAACCAGCCACTCAGAGAGGATGGGACCTTTCTCAGAAGGAGCCTGCTTGCTCTGCTAGGAAATTGTCCCCCAGACAGCAGTGTTCCCCACAGCAGAGCCTTGTCAGCCTCGCAGCCAAGAGCCACGAGGAACTCATTTCCCATTGCTCTTTGGGCCTGGCTGTGCCTGCTTTGATCAGCAGCACTATAACAGACTCAGCAAGAAAAAACAACCACTCCAGAGTTCTGCTCTGCTTTGATCAGTGGCCTGTTTTTGCATGAGCCTCATCTCACCACTCGCCTGAGGCTGAAACTTGGGTTGTGCCCTTCTGTTTTTCTAATTAAACTGACTCCCCTCCCCGGTTAAACGACTCCGAAGTGGTGATTTAAGAAAATGAGTCAGTTTGGTGGAGGGGTGGAAAGGCAGATCCTGAGGGAACAGGGCTCAGGAATCCTCATTGTTTACCCTATTCGTACTTGCACAGTCTCCCCTTCCCAAACTGTTGCTCCCTTCTCCACCATCAACCATGGGGAGGTGACAGATGTGACCCCAGGTCAGGCAGGGATTAGGACCCCCCAGGTGCTGGCCTTTGGCTCCACGCCTGCCCCAGTGAGGGTGGGCACCTGCCTTGCCAAGCCCTGAATCCTGGAACAAGCTCCCTGGCAGGTCTCTGCAAGGTGTTAGGTGCATTTGGGCTAAGGCTTTCGGCAAGACAGGAACAATCTGAGTATTCGTGGGCCCTAATCCAACCCAGGCCACCTACTGAGAGCCGTCTGCATTTTTTTAATCACAGATTAGGAAACAAAAGCCCCAGAGAGTCCCTCCATAAGTGCCAGTGAACAAATCCCAGCACAGTGCAGGAACAGGGATGAGCACAGCTGTAGGAAGCAAGACCAGGGAGGCAGACAGGCAAGAGAGGGAAGTGCTGGGTTAGGAACCTTTGCACCTCCTAGGCAGCAGAAACCCAGGCAGCTGCCAGAGTGAACTGGCCAACCTTTTGCTCTCCATCCTGTTCACCTGCAGCTGAATTGCCCTGGCCCAGCTCCACAGCATCTGTGCTGCCCCAGGACCGTGTCTCCAGCCAGAGATGCTGGCCTTGCAGGAAGTCTGTGCCTGCTGCACTAGAGCAAGCAGGGACAGAAGATGACAGAGTGGGTCCCTTTGCAAAGGATTTCCGCTTGACAGGGTAAAGCTGCACCTGGGGAGAGCTGTGCTACCCCTTCCTTGCCCTAAAAGCACTTGGTCTGAGACCTACCACAGGCTGAAGCAGTCCAATCGGGTAAATCCCATGTGCTGGGATTCTGCTTTCAGCCTGTCTTTGGCTAGGCAGCCAAATTGGATGTATTTATCTGTACTGGGACTTGGCATCTCTTTTCTGCTTGACAAACATATGCCAAGCTGGGAAAACAGCCCCTTGCTTTGCTCTGCACTGGGGGCCTCGTCTGCTTCCCTTGGGTTCCCTGCCCTCAAGAGGAAAGCAAACTCCGGGGAACTCCAAAGGGCTTTACCTGTTGCCAGATAAAGCACGTTGTAGCGGCGTCCATCCCCCACAGAGACCTCGTGCACCCCGATCTTCTGGTAGCGGTGTTTGTTGTGAAATAAGGGGCTCTTGGTAGGGGAGAGGGGCTCCACCCGGTCCTCCACCTCTGGGTGGCTGTCGGCAATCTTGAAGGTCTCGCTCGGGGTGTGTTGTCCAGAGGAAACGCACTGCGGCAAGAGGGGACAAAAGCCACAGTCAGAGTCAGACAGGTCCCTGAGGCTGAGGCTCGAGGGCAGGAGAGCAAGGCAGGGCACAGCACGGGTCCCTCAGCCCACAGGATGCCCAGGCACAGCACATGAGCCCTGCAGCTGCTGTGATTGTGCTCATGACAGGTCCTACCAGCAATCTGCCCTGCAGAAGTCACATTTCAGTAGACTCACACCCTGTCACGCCCCCAGAGGCTCAGGGGAGCCTCCCCCCATGCTGCTGTTTGCTGCCAAGTCAGTGGTGCACCTGCAAGCGCAGGGCTGGGCTGCAGGCTGGCTCGGTGAAACCCACAGGGTTCATAAACACAAGGCAAGACATTGTCCTCCAGCTGCACACAGGAGAGCTCACAGACCTGTTTGCCGAGGCACGTAAGAGCCTGTTTCCCTCTGCTTTCTATGAAGGCATTGGGCCTTATCCAGCCTCCTTTTGTTTCCATCAACAAAGTTCAGTTCCTTCCCACAGTGCTTACAATCCTCCTCATGGCCTCATCTCAGCTGTGGGACCTTCCCCTCTGCCCACTGCAGTGGCAGAGCAGGGACCAGCTCTCCCAGTCTTGGGAGGTCTCTCCACTTCACATGGGCATCTTTTACCATTCACTCACCTGCCCAGGCTTGATCTCTGGGTTGGGTCCATTATAGCCTTTGAGTTTGGATGTCCGAAACACATTGTCAATGTCCCCAAAGGAATAGACACAAACAGCAGAGCTTCCCCTGCAAGCAGTGAGACAAAGAGAGGGTCAGGGAGCCATCAGCCCTATGGCTGGGGCATGGCATCACACCTTTGCCTACTGTGTCCACTCTGGCTGCTTCCCACCCATGTGCCTGCCAGAAAGACTAAAGGGCTAAAAGAAAAGATTTGGCCCATGGGAAACGACGTGCCCCCCATTTTTCAAAGACCCTCACCAGGTGTTTGTGAAGAGCCCGTAGACTTTGGAGCGACGCCAGTCACTTGCAGGGACAAAGAAGACATCTTGCAACCAGTTGAAGTTGCCCTTGGTGACTGGGTCGACACAAATCAAGCTGGCCTTCAGGAAGGTGGTCCACTTGGAAGCAGAAAGCGAACTGGTTCCCCCTTTATCTTCCTGAGGGAGAAGGAAAGCAGGGAGTCAGGGCTTGGCAGAGAAGCACACAAAGACCCTCCCTGTCCAGCATCTTGGGTGGATAACTGAGGGATGCTCCAGAGGTATATCTGGTGCTTGTCACGCAACAATCATGTTGCACAACACCCCAATGAGACAGAACAGGGCTTCCTCTCCCCTAGATGCAAGATGGGACCCAGAGGATAAGAAGGCCAAAGGACATGGCCGTACCCCACACAAACTGTGGCAAAGGAGAGAATTGAGCCAGAGGGGTGAAATAATGTGCCAATAACACCAGGTGAGCTGGCGTGTCCATTTGCCACTCCTGTAACAGTCTTTCCTCCCACCATAGACTGTTCCCATGGTACCTTACACAGCTGGGCCACTCGGGAGATGTTTCTAGGGGCCTCAGGACTCTTATCTGGGTTGTCTTCACGAAAGAAGTAGTAAATCTTGTCCTGGTGAGGCTCTTCGTGCCTTAACGTGGTGGCTTTGACAAACTGAGGGTCTGAAAAGGGAAGTGAGCCATCAGAAAACCTTGGCCTGAATGCACACGTTTCATCTGAAAAGCCAACAGTGGGGACCAAAGCAGTGTGCTCTGCAGCTAACCATTCACCCTCAGACAAGAGGAGAAAAGGCAAACACTGTGCTCCAGGCAAAGGACAGGACCGAGCCTATCCTCTACACACGACCGGTGCATCACACTGACAACTGCTCTTCACGTGCCCAATGGGTTCCCCTTCCTCGCCCTCCTGCCCAGCTCCACGCAGCTGTTCCCTTGAAGGTCAAGTCTGCAGAGCCCAGTGCAGCCTCAGCCGCTTGGTAGCAAAGCAAACCCCTTCTCCCTCCTTGTGCAACAGAGCTGTTATTGCAGAGGAAGGCTCCCTCGGTGGGAGCAAGCTGCACTGTTGTTTGTGTTTGCTGTGGAAAACCCAGTGATGCTCTTCCTATTAATACACCACTGCCAGCAAGGGCATCCCCAGCAGCAGCAGGGTCCCTCTGAGCATTGTTAGTTTGTGTCCCCATGGCAGGGAGTTCTGTTTAAGTGTGGGATTGGCTTTGTTGCTCGATCATGTTTGTTTGCCAGTGCCTTGATTAAACCCTCTCCACTGCCCTGCTTGAACAAGTCCTGCTTTGCCCTGGTGTCACTTTGATTTGATTTTTTCTTTGGGCAGGGGTTCAACAATCTCCTGTTCCCAAGTGTCACTGGGGAGGCTTGGGGGAAGGCAATGTAATAAGCTCATGGAAATCAAGCAGGGTCCTTTCTCTCTATTCCCCACCCTATCCCATGCATAGCCCAACATACACCTGCCTCACGGTCTGGATGGGGATTTGGAAAGAGTCACTGCCTGGAGTGGAAGTTGTTGTTCTTGTTTCTGCCATTGCACAGCAGCTGATGGGCACCTTTACACAATCATATTTCCTTCCAGCATCTGACAGGGGACTTGCCACCCATTTCTCTCCATTTCCCCATCTCCTCACCCTGAGCAAGAGGAACTCACATGTCATTTGTTTTGTCCCAGAAGCAAAGAGATGAAATTTCCCCAGCTGGCAGCAAGAGAGCAGGAGGGAGCTGTGGGTCCCTCCTCACTGGCATCACAGACAGTGACCAGATCAGCCCTCCCCACAGCTTTAGGGGTAACCCAACCCAAACAAGAAGCTCTGCAGCTACACCCCAGCTGGGCAGAGAGGATGTACCCCTCCAAGCTGTGCTGGGTACTTATGGCCCACAGTTGTGGACTGACAAAGAGTCCACCTTATCTCTCCAACTAGGCAAAGCAGCAGGTCCCACATCTTCAGGATCCCCCCTCTGTACTTACTCTGCATCACTGTGTCACTGGTGTAGAGCTCTCCACCCCCTCTCACTCGACGGAAACGGGGTATCTTGCCGTTCTGCTGGCTCTTCTTGATGGTGGAGTAGATGTCATGACCTGTGGGATAGGAAGGCTCATTTGCAGGAGGCTGTTTCCAGATGGAGCAGATGGGTTTGTGAAAAGAAAACAAGGAACCAAGAACTCTGTGGGCACATGGACTCACAGGGATTCTCGATACAGGTCAAGAAACCCAGTCCTGACTGCCTAGGACTGAGCAGGCCTGGCAGGACTTCCCCAGTCCTTTTGCTTAAAGAGTGGCAGGGCCAGATTCTTGCTGTATATCTGGGAAGGATCCTCATCTGTCCCTCTGCCAGGTCCAGAGCAGTCGAATTCCTGCAGTTTCCCCACTGCTTCCATTGCACTCAACCTCCTGCACAAAGACTCAACCCCCATGTTCTGGACAGGAATGAACAACCTTGTGCCATGCTGTGTCCTGGAAGGTTCTGCACTTCAGTGAGGCAAAAGCAAGAAGTGCTAGGGCCGATCACCAACTAGAGCAGAGGGATAAAGCCCCTGGAGCAGCCTCAAGATGTCCCTTTTTTTAAGAGCTCAGCCTTTCTGCACAGCACTATGACTGAATTACGTGAGCAGTGAGACCTACCATCAACAACGACGAGGGTATTCGAGTCAGGCGTGAAAGGAGCAATACCTCTCCCGTCCCACGAAGTGCTCTCCTTTCTCTGCGTCTGGGTAAGGACAGAAATTTTCCCTAAGCGTGACCAGTTCAGGGAAGGCAGAGGAGAACGGCACCCACATCCACTCCTAGGGCAGAAAAGCAGCCCATACGAGGGGAGGATGGGCCAGGCAGAGCCCCTGCTATGGCAGGAGGTGAGGAGAGGGGGGCTACAACAAGTGAGCACAGAGGTGGCACGTGCCGACCTCTGCTCATGCAGGCTGTCCCATGCTGCCATGATAAGCTCCTCGAGGGAGCTGGCATTTGGGCATTTCAGAGCACTCTGTGAAGTAGAGGGGGATCAGAGCACCATTTTACAGATGGAGACAGCACAAAACAAAACAGCAAGTGCTTTGCTTTGGTCCCATCACAGGTGGCCACAGCATACCAAGTTCCAGCAGGTGGGAGCGCAGGCGCCAGTCCCACACACTAACATCCCATCTCCATACTTCTCCACTAACGTGAGGTAATTTTTATTGTCCTCCTGCAAGAGAAAGAAGAGGAGCATGACATGAGTGGCTGCAAATGGCAGAGCACAGCCCCACAGCACTACCAAGCACAGTGCTGTATGGCTTCCTAGCTTTTTCATGGGTCTTAAAACCAGAAGAGGAAACTAGTATCATCTCATCTCCTCCTCCACAGGCACTGGAGGTCTTCACCCAGACAGAGAATGTGAGAAGTATACACAGTTCCTACCCAGCAGTCCTTGAACCCAAGTCCTCCAACCCTCACCCATCCAACTGTTCCCACCACAGGTAGGACCTACCAAACTCCCAGATGTCATGCACTGTCCTTCATTTTTCACTGGGAAGTCTTCCTAGGGTGAAGGAAAAAGAGATATGCTTTAATTCCTTCCCTCTAAAAGCCAACTGAAATGGGCTCAGCCCCATGCACTACATGCGTTACTCTTCACCAGAAGCAAGACAAGCATGATGGTGAGAAGGTCATTCAACATTGCGACGTGGCCCTTCTCCCCACTTAAGCATTTGAAAACCTTGAGGAGGCTGGGCTAGATCTCTCAGGCCCTCGAGGAGATGGGGAGGACTGGAGATGCAGGGCCAAAGTGGCAGGCATGACTGGCAGCCAGCCTGAGCTGCTCTCCAAAGGATTTTGGGAGAGCATCTGTCATTGTGGAGAAGGGGTGTTCAGTTCTGGGTGGTGGTGTCCAAGGGTTGGGACACATGAACGATACTGTTTCTGGGAACAAGAAGGGAAGTATCTGGGTCCAGCATTCAGCAACCAACTTCTTTGAGAAGGACAAGAAGAAGCCATGAGAAAACCAACTGGGGGTTTTCCCTGCTGTATTAACTCAGTGCCCAGCTGATCCAGAACTTCCTGCTTTCAAGGAAAAGCAGCTTGGGTTCCAACAATGGAAAAAGAGAGGAATACAGCTTCTTCCCAGTGACATGAGTCTGAACATCCCTTCTCATGCCAAAGAAGGGGCCCCTCACTGGAAAAATCCTCCCTCTAGGGCAGCAAAGACCTCAGGAGGAGCACTGCCTGGGAAGAACCCACCCACAGCTACTGTAGGAGACTTCTCCCTTGCTGCAGCCATTCACCATTGTGATGTTGCAGCCTGTGGGATGGATGGGGCAGGCTGGGCAGAAACTAGACCCTTCCAGGCCTGACTTTGCTGCTGGCAAAGACACCAAGCAAGGTATCTAGCGTTTGGGCTGTGAGGGATGCTGGACACTTTCTTATAGGGCTCCAGGGCCAAACTTGTTAGCAGGGCATCCTTACCGTGTAGTTCTCATAGGTTGCAAAGTCATAGTAATAAAGCTTTCCCTCTCCCCCGATGTAGATGGCTGAGCTGTTTTCTTTATGGTAGAAGACCGGGTACTTCTCACTCCTGGGAAACACATACTCCTTTGCACCTACAGAACAGCACAGAGGAGACACTTGTCAGGGGAACTGCAGCTCACTGCTGAGAACACTCGCAGACAGCTCAGGCTGATCAACTCACTTTCTGTGTCCTCGGTGCAATTGAGAAGAAAAACAAGGACATGGGGCTGGGGGCCCTCTGGGATGGCTGGCCCAGTGCCAGGCAAGCAGGGAAAGGCAGCTCCCAGACTGGAAGCTGAGCTTTTGTCCCTTTGGCCCCTGCACAATGGAGCTGCCCTGCCTGGCCCCTGCGGGGCTGGTGATGGAGGAAGAGGAGGAAGGGAAACTTTGCTGCAGGAGCTCTTGTAGAACAAAAGCTCAAAGTGAACTGGCTCTGCAGCAGCCAGGTGAGCGCTGCCTTCCTGCCTGCTCTAATGGCAAGTGCCTCCTGCCTCCCAGCTTTGAGATGAAGGGTTCCCTCCCCCTCTCTGGCCATCCTCCCACAGCTGTTCCAGGCAACTGCCTTGTAGTTTGGCTCCTGCACCCTCTTGCATTTGACATGCCTGCAGCTTTTTGTCCCCTGCTTTGGGACCTTGCACATGCTCAATTGGAGCTATGAATTCTTATCCGGCTGAATGGGAGAGGAGCTGCTGCACTGCCTTGCAGCAGCGGGGCTCAGTCTCCCCATGCCCACGGGGTAGATCATCTACCAGCCACAGTCCAGCATCACACCTCTCCCTGCCAGTCTCCAGCTACAGGGCCAGCATCCTTCTTCCAAGGGACTGGAGGGACCAACAAGGTTTGGAGCCCTCATGTCACAGGGGAAGGGTGCCCGTAAAGCCACAACTCATGGGCTCCATGCCCCAGCCATGAACAAGAAGTGAACTGCAAGACCCAGGACCCATATCACAGCAGATTGCTGTAGATGGGGAGCTTTCCAGGCCCAGCTGGGAGGAAGAACTGCCTGTTCTCTCCTCCTTCCTTCCTCTTTCACCTTCTGACTTTTCCAGCTCCTCTTTCCTAAAAGCATCCTCCCTTCCCCTCTGCGTTGCCAGCTCAGGTGTGGGAGGCTGGCTCTGCCCCACAGCAGTTGTGAGCCTCCTGTCTTGGGGCTTTTGCTGTCCCTTGATGGGGGCCACTGGTCCCGCATCCCTCTCCAGGACACTGCAGCCATGTCTGGGCAGCTTTGAGCAGCCGTGCCAGGGCCCATCTCTGCAGCAGGGTGCAACCGCCCTGGCACACATGTGCTGCCGTAGGCTACCCTGTCTCCTAATGAAATTCGCAGCAGTGACATGAGAGGGATTGCTCCGCCGGGGTGAAAAGTGTCTGATCAGGACTGACCTCTGCTTAGCGTGACAGGGCACTCCGTTTTCATCTCTCCCTCTTTTTCCTTTTCCAAAGAAGAGGGGGCCTCTCTCCTGGCAAATGCTGTTGCTCCCAGCAGACAAAGGCTGCGTCTGCCTCGGGAGCTGGCTGCCTGCACAGACAGGCAATTAATCAGTGGCACGTGTCCCTCTCTATTTATAGGGGCACTTGGCAGGACAGGCAAAGGACAATCTTTGCACAGTCCAGCACTTCCCCTCTGCCCGTAGCATGCTGCGCAGGGGCCCCGCCAAGGCTCCGCAGAGCTGAAAGTAAAAAAGACTTATTAGAGGTCACTGGGGCTACTGAATGCTTCTTGATTTGCAGCCTTTTTCTCCACTTCACTACGCTGGGCTCCTCCTTGGGGTCTCTAACCCTTGCGGAGCTAAATGGCACCCAGGCCAGCAAGGTATTCCCATCAGAAGCTTGGCTAACAGAGGATGCTGCCAGCCACCACCGTGTGATGGGAAACTCTGCCAGACCCACAGGATGCAGTTTTGCAAGGGCACCTCAGCTGCAAAGAGAGAGGATGGAGGCGTGCCATGGTACAGAAACCATCTCTGCCTTCCAGCCCACAGCTTCTCGCTAACGCAGCCCTGCCAGGCTGCCCTTCCCCTGTGCTGCGGGATGGAGGCCACAGGGCTGCGTGGCCGTGGGGGGCATTCGGCAGTTGGGACCCTGCAGCTCAGAAAGCCTGGATGGACAACGGCCCCTGCCTGCTCCCTGTCCCCTCCTCAGCCCTACCATCCCTCCTCTGTCCAAGGAGTCGGAGAAACTCCTGAACATGTGCTTTGCCTGCTGGAGAAGCTGGCATTGAGTCTTTTCAGAGTGACTGTGCAACTCATTTGCCTAAGTGGCCCTACAAGCGGGAAGCCAGCTGGGCATGCCAGCTAGCCTGGGCACCGCACCAGCCACAGACTCAGTTTTTGCTTGCCAGGGAGGAGAGGACTAATCCTCTTTTCAGCAGCTCCCTTCCCAGCAGTTCTCTAAATCCCCCTCTTGGCCCAACCTGAGGAGCAGCAGGCAACAGCCCAGGCACATGGGAGCCCCTAAAGCCCTTCTCCCCCATCCCGCTGCCACTGCCAGCACAACCCATCGCCAACACGCCGCAAGCAGGTCTGGCCAGACTTCAGCAAACTTTGCTCTTGTTTTCAAACCTCCAGCCTAGCCCCTAAACTTGCTGCAAATTCAAGAAGACATACACCTGCAGGCACTCTCCACTCCTCTACCTCAGCCTTTTGCATGCTTCAGCCCCACATGATCCTATTACCTTTGGTTTCATTTTGGGTTTTTACAACACCGCCTCTTTCTTAAGCTCAGCTCTGAGAGCCGTGCCAACCTGCAAGGACACACTTCTCCAAACAGCCAGAAGCAAACAAGGCCAAAACAATAATTTGGTTGGCGCCAACGTATTATTTATCCTACTGCTCCCCGGGGACTGCACTGAATCACTAAGCTGAGAGTAAACAGCTCTGCTAGCCAGGGCCTAGAAGCGTGTTTGTGGTTTCAGCGCTGATTTAACTCGATCTGGAAGGGAGCCTTTTAAAGGTGTTTCCGTGAGCGGGTGCTGGGGTCTCTCTGCCTCTGCATCAGCCCTCTGGCTGACCTGCAAAGCTGGCCTTCAGCCTGTGCTCTACCTTAAACAACTCGGCTTAGGCGAGTAGTTTGATCCCCTTTGCCTCTGCTTCCCATCTGGCAGGATCAGGGGGAGCAACCCTGCCCCCTTGGTCTGGGGACCCTGGGGGTATAAATGGCTTCATGAGCTGAGGATGAGGAGGCAGAGGGCATCTAATGACGCACACTACGTTCCCAAAGAGGGGACATGACTCTCCTAGCAAGTCCAAGTCTGATTTTGACACTGCAAAGAAAGGATAAACCCCCTGGAAGGGGGAAGGCATGACCCTGCCATCACCCTCCCTCCGAAACTGAGTCCGGAGCTTCAGAAGACACAGGGGTCATTTCCAGAGCCTTGCTAACCCCGATGAGTCCCTTTGCCTGGCATTTACTGAAAACCCCACCGTCAGCGTGCAAATCAATGGCACAATTGTCAATTGAAATGCTAACCCTGGTCTAGAGGAATGAATGGGAGAAAGAGCAGCTTTGTGCTTTGCAGGCAAGATGGAGAGTACAACACCAGATTGAAGAAGAACAATATTAAATGAGGGAGAAGGAAGGAGCCCGGTGCATCTCAGAAGGATGCCTGCGGGGTGAGGTAATAACGGAGAAGGAAAGAAATGAAGAGGGAGATGCTCTGGGTAAGATGAGGGCAGGGAGGCCCATCCTAAACACACAGAGCAATGCAGATAACAAACAGAGTAATCCTGCTTCCCATCTGATAGGGTGAAACAGGCCCAGCTCCCTAGAATGGCTTGGGCAAATCCAGCTTTAATGAGACACTGAAGGGCTCTTTGGTTGCTTTTGGGTCTAGGAGCCCCTTCAGAAAGGCACCAAGAGCCTGGACAGAGCCTGGCCCTCCCTAGCACCATGGCAAGGGTGGGCTCCCAGAGCATCCCAGAGCTCAGTGCGGGGGGGAGCATGTCCCCCACCTCCAGAACAGATGTCCAACTAGAGAAGCAGTGTGGGCGTGCAGCCTTATTGCAGGCAAACTCAGGAAGCCAGCTCTCATCCCGGCTGAAGGGCTGACTCAGCTATGGTGGTCCTTCTCCCTTCCACACTCCACCATTCCCCGGTCTGGCAGCTGGCACCGGCATCCCAGACACTTGGCTTAGTCACTGGCTCGCACAGCTCCCAGCACCAGTAGTGGGCAAGTCTTTACGGGTCTACAATTCACTGATGCTGGGGGAGGACTACATCTCCCTGAAATGGAGATGATGGTTCAAATCTGCTCTGGTGCCAACATTTTATAATAAGGAACTGAAATAAAGCTTGGAAAAAATAAAAAGGGAAGGAGGACGAGATAAGAACGCGCTGCTTCTTGGGAGCAGCGCCAATGCAGATCCTTCACTTGCTGCTCCTAAAACCCTTGTTAAGTGGGACCCCCCTTGGAATATGAAGAGGGGAAACAAGGCAGGGTGTGGGGTTTACCTGCTCCCTGGAATTACCCACTCCACACCATGGGACCTGTGCTGCCCTGAGTGGGGGAAGTCCCTTTAGCTAAGCTGCCTGTGTTCTTCCAAACTCTTGTGCTGCTGCCATATGATGGGGACACAGGGCTGGGCCACCCACCAAATGACAAAACAGGGTTTAAATTACTGTAGCACCAAAGCTCACCACCGTGGTGAATGCAGCCAAGTCACCAGCACCACTGTGCCCCCCAGCGCCCAGGCAATCCACCTGGCAGCCCTGGAAACTCTTCTCGCCATAACACATTTTAACACTGACAGTCATCACCGTCACGCAGCCTACCCTCCCCGGCACAGCGCCGCTGACACTGCCACCTGCTCTGCTGCCTGTAGGTCTGACAGTGAGCACACTCCTGCCTGAATCACAGCACTGGTCATATCCTTTCCCCTTCCCTCTTTCTCCAAACAATTACTTATTTTTTTCCTTCCTTTTTGAATTGACTGAACAGATTATGACCTTGATAGCAGCACATCTCTGCTGCAATACGACGGGGATTGGCTCTGACGGCAGAGGGAAAAGCTGCTTTCTCAACGCTGACTCAAGGACTGGCAATGCGGGGGGGTCCCCCGGGGCTCATCCCTACACCTGTGCAAGGAGACCTCATCTC